TCTTCCTTTTCACATTTCCAACAAATCCTGAAAATTTCATCAAAATCGGTCCATAACTTTTTGAGTTATGTTGCTAACAGACAAACAAACAAACAAACAAACAAACAAACGTGGGCAAAAACATAACCTCCTTGGCGGAGGTAATAAAAAATAAAAATAATAACACTAATATAATAAAATACAATAAATAAATAAATAAACAATAATACATTATTGGTAATAATAATAATGGTAATGATAATGTGTTATGTTTTTGTTTATGTATTTATTTTCTTTATTTTCTTTATTATATTAGTGTGCACATTTGTGTGTATTGTGTTTACAAATTTTTTTGCCTGTGCCACGTCCTGTGCTGCTGATTGCGCACCTGTTTTGTCTGCCTCTAATGGACTCCAGCCTGCTATTGGTTGATGTGTTTTACTTGAAGGCCATGCCCATGTTTTGTTTTAATTAATAAAAAAACCATGATGAAGACCAGTTAAGGTCGAAACATGTTGGCTTTGGCCATTTAAATAAAGGCCTATTAACAAAATTTTCCTCGTGCAATTTTTTTTACTTTTTCTACTTGTTTGGAGTGCCTGGAATCCATTGTGTTTGAGTTTTGATCCTTTTTCCAAGAACACCCTCTACCTGCTCTTACTGATTGGAACACCTGCAGCAAACAGCCCCATTTTTGTTCTTTCTGCATTAAATCATGGTACTTTATTTCTCTCAAATGAGTCTTGTTTGTCCTGTCTAGTAATTCATCTATTTTTGACACATACTATGTTTCAATGTAGGTCTAGTAAATATTATTATTAGGCCTGTCTCGATAACTATTATATATCGACTTCTTGTTCAATATATGAAAGCAGGAACTATACGTTTTGAGGCTCTATATTAATCGTAAGCATTTTTTTGTTGCAATAGTCTGGAAATTTCAGCTCTTTTTTGTGTAATAAGTTAAGATTTGAGCTGCAGAGGAATTAAAAAAAATAACCTCCAAGACTAATTATTGGTTCTTTCTTTTATTTATTTGTTGTAGCTCATGCTTTTTTTTAATACTGTATTTAAAAAGAAAAAGGTTTACTGGAATTATTTTGCTTTATTTTTTATTGTGTCAAAGGGATAGAGTAGTTTCAATATTATAATTTTTTTGTGATATTTCTTTGTCAATATTTGTTATTGTGAAAAGTCGAATTATTATATTAATTAATGATGATGCAGTATTGATGAATTATAATAATTGCCTGACTCCCGTTTGTAATTTGAGTGTCACGACTGGAGAATATGGTGCTTTTTGTTTTCAAGTAATAAATTACATTTTTGGCACCAGGACAGGTATATTGTAAAAGCCGCTTTTAGGGTCAAAATGTCAAAATGAGAACGCTGTCTAATCGTAAAGTGTTTTTATAATCCTCTGGTAGCAGTAGCAAAACTCCTCTCTGGCTTCTAAAAGTTGTGAAAAGAGCTTATAAACTAATCGCAGTGAATAATTAGGACACTGGGAGTGCACTAGGAAAGTGAGGAATTAGAATTAGAACAAATTCTTTTTTTCATGTTTTTAAGACAGTAATAATCCGGTCCAGCATTTTCTACTCCCTTTAATTAGTAAGCATTGATATTTCATTGGGATTTAGTAATTCTTGCTGTCAACTCATTGAGCAATTTTAGCATTCCTACTATAACTGCATTAAACAGTTTTAGCCAAGAAATAAGACTTCTACAAATGCTTCAGGAATCAAAAAGGATCTATGGATCTACCTGTCAGTCCAAAGTGTTATTGATCATATATTGTTGCTAAATGTAATTAACGTTATTATCCAATGATGCATCACGAATTTCGGATTTCCAGTCAATGCCAGGCAATGCATACTGGGAAGGATATTCCAAAAAAGTGAGCATCAAACCGCCATGTTTGTTTTTCCAATGGGATGCGTCTATTGACAAAGCCAGTCTTTTCTAGTCTTTTGAACCATATCACTTTTGTTTCTGGTTCTGATATTGTCATAATTTAGTTACAGGATTCAGACATCGCAATTGTGTGGTTGTTGGATGTCCTAATAGTGGAAAATGTCTCGAGAAATGGGCTTCGGAAGTTTGGAAACTCTATAACTGCAAAAGGGAATCAGATTTGTGTGACTGCAAACCTCCGTTCAAACTGTTTCCCTTCCCAACGGAATTGAAAAACAGTGAGAGGCAAAGGCGATGAGCAGTATTTATATACAGGAAAGCTGCCTAAGAAATTCATCCAGAGTTTGCAGCGAACATTTTGTATGTGGAGCTCAACCAATCCCATTTGTTAAGCAAGAGGTATAGAAGACAAGCAAGCACTTTTTTGTTCTTATGACTTTACAGCAACATCATGTCTTGGTCGCTTTGCAGTGGAAGGTGTTTCTTGGTGAACAGTGGGTGCCTTTTGCTTTGGTGTTGACTTTTTAAATTTGTAATCAAGGTGGAGAGAGGGATCAGGATTTTGATTTGTTGGCGCTCCATATACAAAATGTCCGCTGCAAACTCGGGATGATTTCATAGGCAGCCAAAGGTTTCCTTTTTGGTCCTTTCTGTGGATCAATCCTGCCCATCGCCTTTCCACTATTTTTCAATTCCTTTGGGAAGGGAAACAGTTTGAATGGAGGTTTGCAGTCACACAGATCTGATTCTCTTTTGCAGTTATAGAGTTCACAAACAAATTTCTTGAGCTGTTTTCCGCTGTTAGGACACCCAACAACCACACAATTAGGATGTCCAAATCCCAAAACTAAAATATGACAATATCAAAACCAGAAACAAAAGTGATATGGTTCAAACGACTAGACAAGACTGGCTTTGTCGATAGACGTATCCTACGGGGAAAACAAACATGGCGGTTTGATACTCACTTTTTTGGAATATCCTTCCCAGTATGCATTGCGCAATGACTGGAAGTCTGAAATTCGTGATAGATCTATTGTCCACTTGTTAAGTGAAAGTCAGGAGGGGACTTTCTGCTGTAGCCACATGTCAGGAGTATTTGATTTTATTTGAGAGGATTTGAATTGCATTGCATTATTCACTCACTCCACAAAACACATCTGCCCCTCCGACCACCACCAATCACACACACTAAATTCATACCAATTTAATACAGTGGATGGAGTATCTTGCCTAAGGACACAACAGTAGTATGCACCAGAGCTGCTGCTGCCCCACTGTGGAACCTGGTACTCCCAGCGGTCTATCCAGGCCCACCACTGCTCAGCTTCCGAGATCAGACGAGATCGAGAATGGGCATTGACAGGGTTTGGCCACAGTATGACGCAAATCACTTTTATACAGCCTCAACTTATGCTTTTATGTTTCTGATAACACTCCATGAATGTTAGGTTTTTACTCCACTTTCTCAAACACTCTCACGGTGGAGTCCAAAGTGAATTCGGCCTGAGTTCATTCTGTAAGTGGTGTAGTGCAGTCTTCAGAGCTCCGATCGATGCTCTTGGACACCTGATCTCCAGCTCTGGTGAGTGGAGAGCAGTAGTGTGTAGTGAAAAGCTAGGGAAATTATTGAGATATAAAAGGTGCTCTGTTTGAAAGATCGCATTAATTTAACTTCAAATATTTAGATTGAAAAGATGACATATTATACTTACGTAGGGTCAACTGTTCATGAGACTCAAGGGTGAACAACAAAGGGCATGTATTTGAGCCTCACCTCAGTACAGATATAAGCAGCTCTTGAGGTCAAAATAGGTTAGGTAAGGAAAAATTTTGGAACACTGCAAACTGTTGAAATGAACTAGTTCAGTTTTTCATGTATTTAAAGGTCCTATATTACACAGAATCAACTCTTGTGAGCTTTAAGACATGTTAGAATGTTGGTACCTCCTCAAAAACATACCTGGAGTTGTGTTTTGTTTCATTCACAAGTGTTTGCATAATCCTTTATTATTAGTCTGTTTACATCTCCAAAGATGAAAATGCTCTTTTCCACGTTGTGATGTCATGCAGTGGTATTTTTCAAGTTAACAGTGACCTTTTACCTTTTGTTCAGTAGAGATGGGAAATTCCAGGGCTGAGAAATCAAAATGAGGGCCTGTTTACATGAGAACGCTTGCGGGTAAAAACTACAAAATATTTTATCGGAAGTGCCTTTCGTTTAGATGTGGACAGCGTTTGTGGGACTTAAAAATGCAAAATCTGAAACCACCCTCCAGAATGGAAAAGTTGAATACGCTCCGCTGTAACGTTTCCGTCTACACTGCTCAAGACGCAAAACTCTGGTCAGATCTGCTCACGTCGCGTACGCGTTTACGTCACATACATCACCACCTAGCGTCATACCTAATCGAATTCCACACACTTTTGCGTCATCGTATGCAAGCAGATTTCCTCCCAAAAACGCTTGTCTAAAGGGGGGATAAAAAGTGAAGACGCGACGCCACTTTTGCATCTTATGTTCAGACCGTCATCATATAAAAGTAGCCTTATTCTAATGAAGGTGTGTGGAGTTTAAAAACACTGTGGAGCACTTCCTGTATGACATCATTACGTGGAACAGAGTGTTTTCTGTTTGAGAGAAGAACTCGGCGTAAATATGCAGGATTCGTGTGTTAAACATTTAAAGGTGCACTGTGTAACTTTTCTAATAAACGGTTCAAGTATCTGTTGTTCTTTCCTGAAATGTTCTACAGTATGACATTTAATTCAACTATATCCATGGAAACAAGCAGGCCACATCACCAGGCCAAGTTACAGGTGAGATCTGTGGAGAAGTGGAGCTGCCCAGTAATAATAATAATTCATGTTTTTGCTGTAGTTGAGAAGTAAAAACCCAAAATATATTTGTTTAATGTCATACTTTGGAACATGCCAGGCAAAGCAATAACATCTCCATGGAGACACGCAGATGATGGACGGACCCTCCAGCAGAAAAGTTACACCGTGCACCTTTAAGAGAGTAAACAGCTTCACCTTCACCAACCCTGATACTATTACTTTTTAGCTATTTTACTTCTTCAGATGAGTTGCAGAATGAGACTTACCACCCAGAACAGAGTCTCGTAGGCGAATCGCTCATACTCGGCGATGGTGGAGAGCACACTGAGCACCAAACACGCCAGAACGATCAGGAACCTGGAACACACGAGCACCAGTAATGTAAGGTTACACACACCTGGCCTCATATCCTTTTGACATTCATTTATTTTCTGGAGTCTCTGAGGTAGTTTTCTGTTTTTCTGTTTTAATGCCTGGGGTAAATATTCATCGTTTTATATCTGGAAAAAAATGTGAAAAAAAGTGGCCGGTGGTTGCGATTGAAATTGCAATTCAAAGTAACTCCAGCCCACGGGAAAGCAGCAGTGTAACATAGCACGAATCAGTCAGACAATCTACGCCAGGTTGCAGTTCAAATTTTTCCATATCATCTCCAGGTTTTGTTTTTTTTTTACCAGGGGAAACACAGAAAACATAGCCTGATTCATCAGCCGGTTTCACCTTTGTGGAAACAGTCTGACCTTGCAGCATTAGGATTTGTTTGCGCGACTGTAGGCTTGTACATTTTTTTTATTTAACCAATTGCTGCTATTTGGTCATGACGTATGTAATGCACCAAACATAAAATTCACCCAAACATTCTCTTTGTTCCAGCTTTAAATCCTCCATCTCGGGAATTGTTGCCAACACAGAATGTCTGGCTTCATCTACATCCATCTCGACCGCTTTGTTTTCTGTTGTGTTGTACCACAAAAGGGACCCAGACAGGAGCTTGAGTTTGACGTCATGGCTTCACAGCTCTTCGCTGATTGGTCCGTGCACGGTCTACAACTTCCAGGGTTCTTGCAAACCGTCTAGTGTATTCTGATTCCTGGCCTAGTCTCTGAAGAGAAATGAAATTGAGCGGAGGCACTAGGTGGCACCAGCCTGGCTACAGAAAACAGGCATGTGGTGTCAAAAAAAACTTCTGATGCCCTTTCAAAATAAGTTGTCTAAAAACACTTCAGTCGAGCAAACACTGTGCGTCCAGGACCTTGGGAACTTGTGAAAAACTACACAAAGTTTATAGCCATGGGGGATAAGTATAATCCAATTTATGACATCAAACAGCAACTTTAAAAGAACAACTTAACAAGAGAGATGAGGCAAACTGAAACTTATATGGTGAGCAACCTAATTAATTACGACTTTTTACTGCTATGCAAAGTCCCTCTTGTCAACTGTTGCCAGTAGCCGAGATTCAATTAACCGCCCTTTTAATGCCGAATGCAGGTGTATATTTTAATACATAACCGCCGGTTCCAAATAAACGCAGAGTCTGTATAGAAAGCTACTTTCTATGCCAACACCCCCAGCAGTCATTGTGTCTGCTGCCGAGGAGGCTGCTCAAACTCCCATTTCCCATTTTTTGTGTTTTATTTAACCAAGATATGATGATTAGTGCAGTGACACCACAGAGAGCCTGATGTTTACAGCCGACATAGGAGCGGTTTGACTTCAGTTCAGTCCTGCCTTTACCAGACTGGTTGTGCGACTGAATGGATAGGCTACAATCTCTGCATTGCGTCCGATCACCCTCATCATCTTCACAGTAAAAGTGGAGGAATTAATGACGTTGTTGTGGAATCCCTATTTCAAACTAACGTACAAAGAAAGACGGCACAACATAGCGGGTAGGAAAATGAAACAGTTTTTAGGAGTTTTGGTTATAGTACTTCAGTTTGACAATTCAAAGGAAGCAGCAATATCACTGTAGCTGCTATGGCATAAGAGGAAAGTTGTGGCAAAGGGGCGACGCAGCAGGAATCGTGTCAACAAGGTAGGCAAAGTAGTCTCCAGGCCATCGTATAACAGCGACGCCTCCTCCGTGGTGTGCTGTAAAAACTGCAAATTATAATCGTACTGGTTAAAATAATTTAAGCACCATAGTTTCCCAGTTTTGCTGAGCTAGATTTTTGTGAGGAAGGAATTAATCGCCTGCCCCAAATTACTGCCTGGTCTCAAATAAATGCCTGGTCTATTTAGCGATTGAAACAAATAAATGCGCCGGTTATTATTTGGTATTTTACAATCCGTGTATCATTCGTTCATTCATTTTTCAATATAAAACAAGAAAACAAAAAAAACAACTGTTTTCTTTATTATTTGTCTTCAAAACCAAAATGAAAAAAACAGATCACGATTCGTTTTTTTTTTTCAGATTTTGTGTTTAAATGAAGAATGGGAAAAACGGATAATGGCCGTTTCCCGTTTACGTGACTTCTGTGACTGCAATGCTGAACTTTTGCGCTGCATTCAGACTGAACCAGGACTGATCCAGGTCCGGGACCACACCGGGACCAGGGCGGACTCTGAGCTTTGACTCGAAGCCCCCGCGGGGTCTGAGCCTCAGCTTCAAGATCCGGCCCTGCCGCGGACTCTGAGCCTCCGGTCTGGTCCCGGCCTGGTCTCGGTCTCAGTCCCGCTCTGGTCCTGGTCTGGTCTCAGTCTTGGTCTGGTCCCGATCTCAGTTTTGATCTCAGTCTCGGACTGGTCTCAGTCTGGTCTCGATCTCAGTCCCGTCTGGTCCTGGACCTGGATCAGTCCTGGTTCAGTCTGTATGCAAAAGTTCAGCATCGCAGTCACGGAAGTCACATCAATGAGAAACGGCCGTTATCCGTTTTTTCCATTCTTCATTTAAACACAAAATCAAAAACTGAAAAAAAATGTATCGTTTTCCATTTTTTCATTTTGGTTTTGGAGACAAATAATGAAGAAAACTGTTTTTTGGTTTCTAATTTTTGGTTTTATATTAAAAAACGAATGAACGAATGATACACAGATTTTTTACAGTAGTCCAATCAACTATGTGAGCAATATAAAGCTGTTTGGTGTTTACACATGAGAAAATACAGAGGCTGGCGTTCCAGGAAAAGCTTTGATGCCTCTGGTGTAAACTGATGCTTTTAAATATATAAATATGTCATCAACACCGACAGTTCCACCCAAAATGTGCAACGTGCAACACAAGTCTCAAGGATGAAGCGTTGCTGTCTGCATGTGATTATAAATCCTTTGTACCCTCCACAAATTAGGACATAATGGTGCACTGTTTGCATGCTAGTTGTTAGTATGACTGTGACGGTGAATAATTCGGTTGCCAGGAATTCATTAAGAAAGTGAAGATAAAGTTTTAAACGGTTCCGGTTGTGCTTTCCATGGGTTTATAAGACGGTAAATGTCAGGTGCATAGCCTTTAAGTCCCTGTCAGCACATCTCATCCACAGGGCCTGTATTAGTAGTATTCTCCTGGAGCTGCTGCTGTCCCCTCAGGCAGGTGGACGTGAGCCAGGTCTGTGTGAGCTGTGCCTGTGGGCCAGAAGGCAGGGGGGCAGGAGGACAGTGGGCTCTGCCTCAGGACCTGCTCCACACACTGCATTAGGTCAGCAAGCACCACCAGTCAGAGCGCGAACATAACAGCTGGGTAAAGTTTTCATATATTTTCTGACAATTTAAAGTGAAACTAAACACCCAAACTTCGCCCATAACCACATTTCAAATAGAGCTGCTGAACCAGGCAGTACCCAGAGGACTAAAGAGGAGAGTGAGGAGGAAGGAGGGGCAGGGTCTCGGGGCACGACATAAACTGTATTAAGAAGTGGATTAAGTGAGTGTGACATCACCCACAGCGTTTGACTCCAACCAAATGAAGCCAGTCGAGTTGAGTAGCAGTTACAGTGGCTAATCTGCAACCAGGACACACTGTATCTATATTAGTAAAACAAAGAGCCAATCAATCAGGAGCGAGGATGCCGAAAGTGACCTCGGAAGAAAGAAGATGCCTCATTGGTCTGTTGTTAATATTCTTATCTTGATTTAAGGACACAATAGTGAAATATAAACACCAGGATCATATAGTCTGGGTTAATATTAATATTTTAAGGTCAGAATGATGAGCCTGACAGCAGCAATTACAGAGACCGCCGATGTTTTTTTTATTTTTTATTTAGGAGTCATTTGGAATCAGAGCTCAAAGGAACTATTTCATGCATATGCTTACTTCCTATTTGGAAAGCAGTGGCTCGCAGGTTAGATATGTGCATTTATATATGCAGTCTATAGGGTATAAGGAACAGTAGGGATGGGCATTCGATAAAATTTTCTTAATCGATCATCAGGAGAATTAACGATCGATTATCGATTAATCATTAACTTTTTTTTATATTAAAATTTATCATCATTACTATCTGCACTACTAATCTGCATAAATAAATTAAACTTTACGACATATAAACCGTAACCACTCTAGAGCCACATCAGCCCGTTTGACATTATCATGCGTTTAATGCAGTTTTGTGCAACTCTCACAGAAACAAAACTTAAAACCGCATGGCTAATTTGCATAAATTAAACAAAGAAAAAAAACAGCTCTTAGGCGCTGATGCAACATGACTCAGTGGAATACAGGTTAGTGTGACCATATTTGCGTTTGTCAAAACCAGGACACCGTACGGGGGGTGGGTGGTGGGGACTCGGACAGCGCTCACCTGGGGGAAACATATGTGCTGCATTGCACAATGTGCGCTTGGCCTCACACGTGCCCCGAATGCAACGGAAAGCGTGGAATTTCTTGTACAAGTCATTGTTAAATACGAATTTGCACTTCGGCATGTTGCAGGCTGACTGACTGTTTGTGTTTGCTCGCTCCTTCTGAGTGCACATGTCCGGACCCCTGTTTGGTCACGCTACGCACAGCAACCTACATTCCGTTTGTCGATTATAATGAACGTAATCAATGAAATTCTTAATGATCAATTATCGATTAATCGACTAATCATGCCCATCCCTAAGGAACAGTATGATTGGTGACAGGTATCTCCACTTCAAACTCCACTTCTTAGATTTAGGTGTTTTGACCAGAAAGCTTCAAAAGTGCCTAGTTTGCAGTAAAGTTGACAAAAAGTAACTAGGAACAGTTAATGCTCTTAAACCCCACATGCAGTAAGTAGAGTTTAGTAGCAGAATGGATTTAGTGTTTAGTTCCACTTAAAGGTGTTACACTGGAGGTGACAATAGGTTATTTCAGTCTATTCCTGGTGCAGTTTCATAATAATGCCTTGACATTATAGTTAATTAACCTATGTTCTTGTAGTCAGACA